CAATAAACATATATGTATCTCGATGATTGGAACAGATTAGCTTGAATCTGTCAATTAGTAGTTGGTTATGTTCCTCTAATGTATTTGCCAATTAATCTTTATTGTTCGACATAATTTCCAAATTGTCATTTTCGTATTATATTATTGAAAACATTTATTATTATATTTGCTATTCTTTTTCTTCTTATCTCTGATTTCAACACTATCATCAACAAATGATTCGTTGAAGGCAACACGAAAAGTAATAATTGTTTTCTTTCTATTCTATCCGAATTATATTGTTTCGAATGTTATTCGAAAATTTTCTCAACAATCGTTTTTATGATTAAAGACCGCCGAGTAAAATATTACACATTAGAAATTTTTTTATTGAATATAAAATAAATAATATTTTTCAAAAATATTAGATAGAAGTTTCATTGTTACTTAATTCTTTCAAATAATTTGACGAGTAGTGAACTACATGATTGTGACCAATTTTTCTATTGGAAGTCTAATACAAGATGTATATATTTACACATTGTTTATATGGACAAAGTATACAAAAAAAAAACGAAGTTTCATAAATTGTAAAGAAATAAAAACTAGAACAATGTTCATATCATTTCAATAAACATAGATACAACTTTTAATTGATAGATCGTGTTCTACACTATAGTTAAAACATGTTTTTTTGAAATTCAAAATAATTTTCAATATATTACAAGGAAAGAAGTAATTTCTCTTACAAAGTGTACGTCGTACACTCTGTTTTTTGGAGAAATTGTACAGTAGTTTGTATTTCGGGAGCAGCAGATATTATGTGTATATCGCTTTTACAATGTACAATTACTAATAGAAATACCACAGGATACTGAAAATAAGCACTTTCGACTATTTCATTCTGTTTGTATTGATTGCGTTCAATCAAATATGCCATATAAATAATACTGTTATACCGTAAAGAATTTTTCTCTAAAGATGTTTAAACACGAATTGTTTTTCGTGATTGTAACCAAAAACATGTTAGTCATGCAGGACAATATTTATAAGTACTATGGCCATTGCAGTAGTTTTATTGAACTGTCATCTTCAAATAATGATTTTAATTTGAGTGAGTCAATCATCAAAAAAAATTCTACTTCGAAGAGACTAGTCTTTCAATATATTTTTTTTGTAAGCTGCAAAAAACGCAAAATTTCTCCATCATTCTTTTCGTTTTTTTATGTATAATTGAATAGAACACATGGGATTACCTAAAAAAATGCCTCTCTAATTTTTAAAAGTAGGTTTTTCAAAAAAAAATCTCAAATTTGAGATTTCATTAAAAAATATGTTAATGTTTCATACAGCTGTGAATATAATAGTTATTTTCATTTTCTCCAATTTAATAAATATTTTCTTTTTTCGTTTCACAACATATAATTGACTACAAAAAAATTATTTATTAAGATTGTTAAAATATTGTGTAATTATGCTTTGATTCCATATTGAGAAAAATAATTTTTTCAATAAGACTGACGAAACAACAAAAAAACGTTCCTTGTATTTAGAGATTTTGATTATCAATAATTGAAAAACAAGGAAAAGAAATACGATATCCAGAATTAACATAAGAAATTATCTTTTATCAAAATTTAATCTCTACTCTATCATTGACCCTTTTTGATTCATTTCCTCTATGGTTCTTCTCAGGCGACATTTCGATAAAAAATATTTTATAACAAAATCTACGCTTCTTTTTGGCTCAGTTTCATATCTAAACATGAAAGCAACTTTTATTCTTTTGTCACTGATATTGAAAAAAACAAAATTATCTTTCTCAGCAAGAAATCAAAGCAAAAAACGTAGGATACCTTAGGTCAGGATTCGAGTATTTCCTGAAAGGATTCGCTCCAAAAAACTTTTCAAAATGGTCTAACAACTTTCCAAGTAGAACTCGACCAGCTCTATCGAATGGACACCTTTGGAGCTCAATTTGATAAACCCTTCCCTTTAGAAACGGCCAATCACAGGTTCGATCCGTAGATTTCTCCTAAGACCTAAAGAGACTTGCCCAGGAGTACTTTCCAAGTCCAACATATAACTTCCCGACTGGATCTAAACGAGATCTATTGAATGGACATCATTTGAGCTTGATTCGGTGCTTCCCTTCCCAGAGAAACGTCAAATCCAGAGCCCAATTATTCAGTTTTTCAATAAAACCCGAACCGATTCGTTCAGAAGTGCTTTTCAACTGAGACATATGGCTTTCCAAATAGATCTCAACGAGATCTATCGAATGGAGACCCTTAAAACTTCATTGGATCCTTTCCTTCTGAGAAAAACGCCTGATCCGGGATCCACTCGTTCCGCTTTTCAATAAATGCCGTAGCGAATCGCCCTAGAGTTGTCTGCAACTCTAATACGTTACTTTCCCAATGGAATCTGACGCGCTCTACCGATTGGATACGTTTTAAGCAGAATCAGACGGTGCTAGGCCAAGAAAATCTGCAAAAAACTCGGGGCATCCTAGGGGTTTTTGTAAAACCTTACAGAATTCGTTCGAAAGCACTTTTCAACAACTAGATGAAATTTTTGAAGTAGATCGCGATCAACTCTACCGATGGAGTACCTTTTTTACCGATTTCAATAGGGTTGGCTTTTGGAAACGCCCGATTCAAAGTCGCAAATTCAGTTTTTCGTGGAAAGAGCCGGTCGCAATCCGGCCAACCATTGGTTCCAACTACATAGCTAATTTTTTGCTGATAGAACTCGACGAGCTCTATGTAAGAGACTCTTCTCTGATCTGATTCGTGTATCCGGTGCCACCGTGATCCAGTAATTTCCGCCTACTTAGTAACTTTTTCACATTGAAGCCGGTGTGCTTGGCTGAGAATCACTCTTACAGTGGGTGACAAAACTGTACAGAGAAATATCAGCAATCTCTTTCAAACAGACAGCTCGTTCATCCGATTCGGGTACCCGCCACCCTTCCCGAAAGCAAAATGCTACTTTTTGCATAGTGAATCAAGATACTTCATGAAATTGGCGCGGATGCTTCCAGATCCACACAGTTTCTTTTGTTTCCTCCTAATTCATGCAGAGAAAAAATAGATAAGCATTGAATTCGGTTACAGAAATCATCCAATGAAACTTTTTCTTCGCTTCGAAATAAGATGCTGCGCGGTGAGTTATTTTTCTTCTAGTTGTCTTATCCCGCATGATAAATTAATTTTCTTTTCCTTCTCTTGATATCTGCACGATAAATTCTTTCCCCTCTCGTTTCATAGTTCTCCTCGAATTAAAACCCTTCAATCCATTCTATTACAGCTGTTGAGTGCCGGTATGCGCTCATTCTATTCATTGTGTATTTTGCGAGGCATAAAACATATGGTCGGGAGGCAACTACGTACGCCATCAACCCTTAGAACATTCACCCGGGTATCCATTCGATTGAATTCTTCGAGCTCTCGCTCGAACCATCAATCATGTAGTTTGAACCAAGGATGGAGTGAATCGTGACAGGTTCTGCCACGAAAAGCTAATTTCTCACAGGAAATAACAGGCTTTCAAAAGATAGAGGCATCAAACTGAGCTCGGAAACTGTCCAATCGATAGAGCACGTTGAGCTCTAATTTATAAGTTCTACGAGAACGTTAGGAAGTCCTGCTAGGCGAATCCTGACAAGTTTTACGGAACAACCTAGGATTTCGGCTAGTTTTTACTGATTTCATTTCCTCAGGAGCATGTGGTTTTACTCAAAAGCTGCTCCTTCGATACATCTCATTTAGATCTGTTTAGAAGGTCACATGTCCCAGTTGGAATGTATTTCTTAGTGAATCCTCATGACTTTTATTAAAAACTGGAAAACTAGACCCTGGATTAAACATTTTTCAGGGACGAGGAGCATTGAATCAAGTTCTAAGGGTGTCCATTCGATAGATCTCGTTGAGATCTATTTGGAAAGTTATATATCTCTGTTGGAAAGTACTTCTCGACATATCGATTCGGGTTTTCTTGAAAAACCGAACAATTGGGCCCCGGATCACGCGTTTTTCACAGAAGGAAAGGATTGAATCAAGTTCTAAGGGTCCCAATTCGATAGAGCCCGTGAAGATCTACTTGGAAAGTTGAATCATTTCGCTGGAAAGTGCGTCTGAACGAATCGCGACAAGTATTATTTGAAAAACCTAGTTTCTGATGCGGATTGAAGGTTTTGAGGGCGAGAGGAGTGTGGAATGGGGCACCACAGATATGCATTCGATAGAGCTCGCCAAGATCTACCTGGAAACTCAATGATTAAGTTGAAAAGCATTCCTGGACGAATCGCGACAAGTTTTTCCAGAATTGTCTGCATTTTACACGTTTTTCTGATGATATTTGGAGATTTTTGCGGTTTGAGGTGGGAGCTAGAGAAAAATGAATTATGTGGTTGGATAGAGCTCGTCGAGTCCTACTTGGAAAGTTTTGTGGAACGAATCCTTTCAGGAAATACTCGAATCCTGACCTAAGATATCCTACGTGATTTTTTGATAAAATACTGAATAATTCTACATAAAAAATAGTGTACTACAAAACAATAATTTAGATTGCAATGGATAAAATATATGAAAACGTCACGTACAGAATGAAATACAAAGAACAAAGATTGATGTATATCCTACTGAAAGCGTATGAAAAATATCAAAGAAAAAAGTACTAAGAGAACAATTTTCAAGTTTTAAATGTAATATTCAGTTCAGAAGCACTAGGTTCTGATATCCTAAGTCATTCAAACGCAAGCCGAAAAATTTCATTTTGTTTCAACATCTGTACAAAGTCTTACTAAAGATCATTATGACAAGTTTAAATGATACATGTGAATTCCACATTTCAGCTCCCTTGGAGCTGTGCTGATAAGCTTTTTTTCTTTTTTTTCGTCTTCTTTGATATCTAGTCGATATATATATTCATATATCGACTGATACATGTACACATTTACACACACATCTATTTTAACAAAATAAACTTTGGTTGGTCTTATACAACGTCTCGTGAATATGACTCATACCTTGAACGACATCGAAAAAGAAGTAATGCGATATTAACAATACAAAAAAATACCTTGTTTTTACTTAGATACAACGTACTATTGATTTAAATACAAACATAACTGAAAAAATTCGAATCAAAAAGGATATGTTGGCACTTCTTAAACAAGAAATCGAAGATTTATATCTCGAACAAGACAGAAACAATGATAAATTAATAAAACTCTATGATAAGAAAAGTAAAAACATTTAAAATGAAATATTCTTAGTGTCTTATGAATTTTCTTTTCAGATAAACAATCAGGTCCATCATAGTGGCGGAGCCATGGTGGGGCTGGGGGGGGGGGGGCTCAGTTCCCCCCAGAAACTTTTGAGCCCCTCCCAGGAAAATTTTTAAACCATGTATTTTATTTGCTAACCGGGGCTCAAAGGTCCCTCAGAGGGGATTGAGCCCCCCCCTCCCCAGCTCAAAATCCTGGCTCCGCCACTAGTCCATCAGATCAACAACAAATGAAGAACAAAAAATAACTTATCATCGTCTGATAATGGTTCACATTTTGAATCTTTCATTAAAAGAAAAG